TAAAACGCGTATTTATTTAATTGTATTGAGCATTAATACCAAGTTTCAAGTAATTCTGATCATAAATAATTTATCGGTTGTATTATAACATGTTTTCTCGTGGGAATGAGATTAATTAACACCCGCAATAAAAAGTAGCCTATGTCACACTCTCCAGCCCTCCAACTATCTCCACACAAAAAAACAATCCGTCACTCCGTTTCGACGTGAAAGAAGGACAAACAAACAAACGTGATAGAAATATCACGCGCTTTTTTAGCTTTCACTAAATTATCTACATTATTTTTATCTTTCTTTTCAGTACAACCATTTAAGTTTATAAAAAAATACCTATCTTATTTCGTACTTTTCCTCCGAGTTCCAAAAAGGATGAGGTACTCAATTCGTCGGAAACTTTTTTTTATGTATATTCACCGATTACTCGAAGACGCCTGAGCCCTTAGAATAAGCGTTATTATTCTAAGCCTGAACCGATTTGGACAAAAAAAATTGTTTCGAAGAGTATAGGTAGGTAGTCCTATTTAAATTTTATCGAAATCGGTCGAGCGGTTTTTCAAAAATCAACAATAAATTATTTTTTGAAATAAATTGCTTAACCGAATATGTTATTAAAAAAACTTTCTTCTTACAAATTACGTGCTTATTACGTCTACACTAAAAATGGAAAAATAAAAACTTAAAAAAAACCAACTTCCAGGCACTAAAATGTAAAAAATAACTAAACGGGGGTTTTCATTTAGAATAGATACCGAATCAGATATTTTCGAAGTCGGTGCCAGCTGACAATATTTTAAGATATCATTATCTAATAGTAATCTAACATGATTAGGCTTGAAATCTAACGTGATTAGGTATGAACTTAAATTATATTTAAAATATTATACTTTGTGACATATTTTACGTATCGAAATATATTAGATTTGCTTTGCATCGACTGGCACCGATTTCGAAAATATCTGATTAAGTATCTATCCTAAATGAAAACCCCCCTATAGTTATTTTTTACATTTCAATGCCTGGAAGTCGGTTTTTTCAACCGACTTCAAAAAGGAGGAGGTTCTCAATTCGACTGTATGTTTTTTTTATGTTTGTTACCTCAGAACTCCGTCATTTATTAACCGATTTGGACAATTTTTATTTTGTTTGCAAGGGTATACTTCCAGATTGGTCCCATTTAAATTTCAAAAAAAATACCACCCCTAAGGGTGGAAAAACAACTAATGATGAATTTAACCTTCTTCTAATTGTCATATTGACTTGAAACATTGCAAGTATTTCTATTTCCGTTGATAGTACAGTGGTTTGGTGTTGTTGACCTGATCTGATGGCAAGGCCAGAAGGTGGATAGGTGGAACTCTTTAACGGCTAATAGTAGATACTTTGAGTTTGGGCTTATTTTGTTTGATTTGACAAGCCTAACACGTCAGAATCCTTACTTTGCTACTACTGTCTACATTAAAAAGGGAAAAATAAAAACTTTTTAACAAAAAAATAAAAACCGACTTCAAACAAAAGCACTAAAAAGTAAAAAATAACTGATTGGTAGTTTTCATTTACTATTCATACCTAATCAAATATTTTTAAAGTCGGTGTGCTTTGGCTAAGTAATTAAAACCTACCTATTAAATACATACCTAATCAAATATTTTCGAAATCGGTGCCAGCCCATACAAAGCAAAGCACACCGACTTCGAAAATATTTGATTAGGTATGTATAGTAAATGAAAACTACCAATCAGTTATTTTTTACTTTTTAGTGCTTTTGTTTGAAGTCGGTTTTTATTTTTTTGTTAAAAAGTTTTTATTTAGTTTTTATGTCAATAAAAGATAAATTTAAAGCAATCACTTGTAACATTATTATTGCTCAGTAAAATACTGAGGCGTTTATTTTTCTTATTTGTTATCAGTGGCAGATGATTCATTGCAAATGTAGGAATCAATGTTCAAGGCCGAGCGTATGGCTTTTGCGCTCCACTCTGGACGGCCAATAACGGCAAGCCAGAGGCGGGGACAGATGTTGTTTCCCCCGGAAGCTCTCAGGTCCTTGCTGTCACCACTCACCAACAGCTCGCCACAAGGTGCCCTGCGAGCTTATCATTATTATTGTAAAAAGGCCTACAAGCAGATACGGAAATCCCTCTATTTGATTGCACAACTCATGTAGAGAGTACTACCTACTTACTTGTCTACAATTATGTCATTTTATGTCGTGATAGTTAAATAAAGATATTGATTGAAATTTGAAAATGATAATTACTCAAATCACTATTAGAAATCATTAGTGACGTAAGATGTCGATAAGTTATACATATCTTAAGTAGTATGTGATCGATGCCTTTTATCCACTAAATATTTATGGCAAAACTTATTGTGTGGCTATGCTACGAGGTTCTATGTGTCATTAGCTACAGTTTTGCAAAAACAAACTACTTGATAGCGACACTTTAACAACAAAATATTCAATTTTACATAGTTCTATGTTGTTTTTTTACGATAACAAAATAACGAAGTTCTATGTAAAAATTACTAAACTTCATTAAAATTAACATAGAACCTTGTAATAGTAAGCCAACAATTATTATTTACATTGACGAATGATATTGAGTTGCTGTTCACTTAGCGAAGATCAGGTTCAGGGATCACTCCATGTGCCAATGTGCCATATTCTTTTTAGCTGTCCTAGACTCCACCATCCTATTTATGATGTCCTCCTTCTCAAAGTCCTCCGTCAAATTGATGTTTTTTTTTCAAATCAACCACTTTATTGCTAACTTGGGTTAGTACATACAATATATTGTTAATTAATCTTTATGTTTAGATCTCAGTGTTATGTAAATATATTAAGTCTAATGGAATTAGATTACAGACTAACATTTTGTGTAAAATAACTAGAATATAATCACTTCTCTTTCTAATTAAGGTCTTTATTTATTATACATTAATTGGGCAGTGGTAGCCCAGTGATAGCGCGCTTGCTTGGGAAACCGAGTAAAGCGGGTTCAATTCCCGGGTGTCGCACCTCTGATATTTTCATGTGCGAATTATTTCTAACATGATTACCACTTGCCTTACGGTGAAGGAAAACATCGTGAGGAAACTTGAATGTCTGAGAGAACTTGCCAAGTTTTCGAAAGACATATGAAGTCCACCAACACGCACTTGGCCAGTGTGGTGGACTGTGGCCTCATCCCCCTCGTATTGCAGGGAGGCCCGTGTCTAGCAGTGGGACGGTAAAAAAGTGTTGAATACATACATACATATTAATAGTGCTAATATTAATAATGCAAGATTTATAAATGATTTACTTCTTTACACATTATAATTTAAAATAGTTAAATCTTATTTTACCGACCAATCTTTTTGGTGTCTTCTCCACTTTACGTGACATTGGCGAAGTAATTTGTGTTCAACTTTTTGTTTCATCTGTTTGTCTGTTTGATTCATCTTTTTTATTTGCTTACATTTACTTTAACTTATTTGCTTTATAACAACTTCAATATTATTTACAGCTTATTTTTTTCTTTTATCAAATGTTTTAGTGCCATTTCTATAGGTTCCTCGGTATACGTATTAGTGTCCAGTGGCCGAAATTTGACAATAATCATTATTGAAAGTTTGAGGAAAACTTACATATAAATAGAATTGACCTATCTATATAGTAATATATAAAATACATATAAAAAAACTGTTTTAAATATTTTAATTTATAACAAAAAAGCTCGTCAAGACACAGAAAAAAAATTATACTGAACGGTTTTGTCTTTGCCTATTCATAGACTAACGAATTACCGTCGCATTGCTCGGGTGCGTCCATTACGTTTTAAATAGATAGAAATACTTGTTGCCAATGTACCTTAGAAGAAAAACACATGCTATCGTAGACTCTTCTGTAGGCTTTTTTAAGACCTAAAATTTTCTAGTACATAGTTTTGATCAACAATTAAACAAAAAATTACTCTTATTTTTATATTATTTACTATAAACTTTTTGTACTCATAATACAATAATTACTGTCAGCAATTTATGTGGTGGTAATAGCTAAATATATATATATATGTGTGTGTGTGTGTGTGTGTGTGTGTGATTAGAATCTTAGAAGAAATTGAAAATACTAAATTTTTATTTTATATTAGGTAATAGGTATGTTAAACATTGTAAATCGAGGTCATTAAAGCTGCAGCTTAAAAAGGTCTTACATACAGTTTTAAAAATATACGTAGCATCACTCTCTATAAAGCTTGTAATTTCTAATCTCTTTAATTCTCAACAAACATATTTTGGCCTTATCATATCTATGTATACATATAATAAAATTGTAACTAAGCTGAATCTGTACATTAAATCTTATTGTAATAAACATTATTATCGATACAGAGGCAGAATCTATAGTTTTTAGAATTTTTGTCTGTCTGTATGTGTCTGTCTGTCTGTTACCGTATTTTGATGAAATTAGATATGGTGATAGCTGGTTATCCAAGTCAACATATAGGATACGTTTTACTGTGGGAAAATATCTCATTTCTGAGAAAAAATACAAAAACTGCAATATAAGGGTATACTAATATGTAAAACCTAAGAATTTGGTTTTTGGTCATCTGAACGCGGGCGGAGCCGCGGGCAATGCTAGTTATTAATAAGAAAGTAAGGATTAAGATTACAAAGTAATATTTCTTAAAGCATACTTATATAATATAATATGGTAAAACTATCTCAAGTACTATTTGTGTGCGCCTATTTACCTATAATGTATTCGACATTTATATAGTATATAATAAAAAGATGATAAATTTCACCACCAGCTTTTTTTGGGTTGAATTTACAAGATCTAAAACACTTTCGGTTCGGTTTCTATATACAGGTTGTCCGGTAAATAACACGACAAAAAAAGGGGAAGGTAGACGAAAGGCTGTATATGTATATGATGAAATATTTGATTTCGACCAACTCTGTATAGAGGTGTAATAAATAATGCCGAATATTAAAATATTAACTATTAACTAATAGCGAGCCCTCCTGTGCTTGTTGCGAGTGTGGTTTGCGAGGCAGAGGCCGAAGACAACCGCTACCAGCTGAAATAAATAATATAAAACTAAAATGCCTGACATTTTAAATAAAATAAAAAAGAAAGTATTATGTGAAATATCTAAGTTAAATAGGTAGTACAAGATATAGCCCTTTTAACTGTGGAACCACATGACAACCTAGGCACTATACTGGCACTTGGCAAATCCGTTAAAGGATTAACGTAATGATTTTTTACAAGCTTTTCCCTGTATAGACGAACAAGAGTAAGATATGTAACTTGATCTTGACATATATAATTCTAGGAAAAAGATTGTTTTTTTTTTTAATATGTAGGTGAATCTCGCGACGAGCTTTTATATCATATAAATTGTGTAATGTAGTAAATTGATAGGTTTAATTTAATTAAAAGTTTATTTTCTTCTTTTTAGTGCATTTAAATAAATGCTTGTTTTTGAGTTTATGGTGACCACTCTTGAGAACTGTTCCACAATTGGGGAAGATATTGCTTAAAAACATACACACAAAAAATCTCATTTTTGAAGTTGCTTTAGATAATTAGCAGTTTAATTAAATAAGGTTTTCATCATAGTGTAATGCTTTTCATCAGAACTGGACCTTTAAATTTTCAGGAAAGGGTAAAAAGAAAACCTAATTATCTAACTTCCCATAATACATGGGGTCCAATTTAGTGAACCACAGCAGTACTCACGCATTTGATCAATATCATTTTATTTTCACCTCAGTAGATCATAGTCATCTAGACTTCCTTTTAGACAAACTTTTTATAGATTTGATTGTAGGGCGAAAAAGCGCTGAACGCTTTGTATGTTTTTCACATATTTTATAATACTATTTGTTTTGTTTAAGATACGTTAATTTTAACTAGTTCGTCTCGAGTGCGTTCTAAAGATTTCCTTATTACTTTCACATTTATAATTACTATTATACACACTAGTGTGTGATGTTTATACCTCAATAGAAACGATAACGATGGCGACAACTCCAATGGCCAGGCCAAATGTTTCGAAGAACTCGCTGATAATTGCGTTACATCCGTTGTAAGAGGTCAACGGGTTGCAGGGTGGGGAGGCGCAGCATGTGTCCGGGAGAGACAGCTTGGTCAGGTAGGAAGTCGGACCTTCGGGTCCGCAGCACAAGAACTGGAATGCGAAATATATTATTCAATAAACACATAAATAAAAACTAACTGAGCGAAGCTCAGCGTTTTTCACACCAATATAGATAAAGTTAAAGGCAAAAGCTTATCTAAATAGATTCCAATCGTTCGTTCGCCGTTCCCGAAATACAAAAAATAAATTTATATATATACCTACAATACTTGCTCGTGTTGAATATGAAAAATCTGGGGGTTGAATGTTGATATAAAATTATATGTTATAGTCATGTGAAACAATTATGAAAAATATCAAAGAAAAGGTAATAAATATTATCATCATTTTCTCGTACATTGCCAGAAATTTAAAAAAAATAATATCTTTATAAACTAAATATTGGTATCTACTATAGAGAAGTTTTAAGATGATTGAATTTCCCCCCACGGATCATTTCGCTGTGGAATGAACTCTCTGCCGAGGTCTTCCCAGAGAGCTACAGTATGGAGTCCTTCAAAAGGGGAGTAAATAGGTTCTTAAAGGGTTGGCAACGCGCATGTGATGCCCCTGGTGTTGCAGGCGTCCATACTATAGGCTGCGGTAACCGCTTACCAACAGGCGGGCCGCATGCCTGATTGCCACCGTCGTGGTATAAAAAGAAAATGTTATACTTTTGAGACGGTATTCATTGGCTAAACATTATTTATGTATGTATGTAGATAACAGTACATATTTTACATTTTGTCAATTATGTAAATATATACATTTCTATTGTAATATAATAAATTGATTGAGTATTATTGCAAATTTTCAATCGGTTTACATATTATATATCGATTATTATTATTCAACAGTCCGTTATTATTTTCAGTAAGTTGTTTTTTTTACTAATACTTAATCTTTATCACAACTCCCAGCACAGCATTGCGCCATTAAACACTTTACTATCTTATCTTATATACCAAGTTCGATATTTATAAATCGATAAATGTATGTAGGTTGACATTTATTAGGCTTCTTAGCATCTGTATATTTACTTGTTTTCAGTATTTTTTTTATATCAGATAAGTTTGTAGTAGTTAGTAATATTGAAATTAGATGTCACCGTCTATGCGTAGTTTTTTTTCTATTTATTTTAAAGGCTTTTATTTCAAAAATATGCCTGCCCATATATCCTATCTATCATACCTTAATCTACATAGTTACATAAACCGGATCCAAACAAAATTGCATACCATCTTGGCCTCTTCAGAAGTAGGAAAGGACAAAATGGTGTTAAAATGACCTATATCGAAACTATTCACATTCAATGCTTTAATTAGGTTTTTCTTTTGTTGGTCGTACCGGACACATTTCACTAATAAATGATAAAGATCTTCATAATATACTCCACATACGTTACAGTTTGGTGAGAGTGATTTTTTTATAAGAAATAGAAAATTATTTAATTTAATGACATGTGTCCAGAACGTAATCTGTGTGCTATTTTAATTATGGTTCTATTACTAGAAATCGTATCAAACCTGGGAGCACGAAGTGGCTGACATTGCGTAGTTTTATTTCTTATATTTCATGCGTAAACTTTAAATATCTACTTTGTATAGAAGGGAGCAGAACAGCGAGCTCAAGCAGTATTGATTATTGACTATTACACATCCAACGCAAAAAATCATTTGATATCCGCAGAATTATATTGGAGCTATATCTGATGTAGGAGACAAACAGATAAAAAATCATAAGAACGCAAAATTAAAAAACAAATCTGCGCTAATAAAAAGTTTTCATTTCAAATGAAAAGTATAACTTACAGCTCTTTCTATTTCATGGAATGCATTGACGTCCTCGGAGAAAGCCTTGTTCAGCCAGCGAGGGATGTCGCTGATGAGGTCTTCTTGTTTCACAAATATCAAAACGGACAGCGCTATTTTTAGAATCATCAAAACTATCATGAAAATTGCGTACTGTAATGGAAATAATTTAAAATAATTAATATCATAGCGCCTTTAAAGGTTGTATGTAATCAACTAAACAAAATCGTAGTAAGAAAAATTCTCCCAAAATAAAAAATAAACCTTTTAATTTTAAATACACATTGATATCAACATTTTAATTAAGTATTGCATTAAAAATCGTCCAAAAATCAATTATTACTTGATACAATAAGAGCGCTACCAATATTACATTGATTATGTCGAAAATATTGGGTGTATGATTGGTAACGATTTGTAAACAGACTGACAAAAAATATATATTTGCATATAATTGTATCTAGAGAAATTATATTACTTCTGACTTAAAATTAGATACATTCTTATGACCAAGCTATAAAGACTATAAGAACTGAAATTTTGGCATGTTTTTAGATTTTCAGTCTAACTAGACACGTAGGTAGTGTCTTATATGCCGTATGTCTGATTTTAAATTAGTGCCAGCTAACTGCTATTGTGAGTGCTAGTATACGTTTGAAATGAGTGATTTTCGAATAACAGCTAGTATTTGTACTATTGTCATTTGTCAAATATTGGGTTTAAGTTGAAAATTTTAAGATTTTGCATAATTCTAGCTTTTACTACGAGTATATAATGGTAAGTATTCTTGATAAATACTTACAGTGATGAGCATGCAGTTGCTCTCCCTAATAGCTCCACAGCATCCGAAAAAGGCGACTATGAAAACAATACTCCCCACCACCATCGCCCCGATGGGGGTTAGCTGGAAGATCTGCGACTCTTCGAAGATATCCACTACTTGGGAGACCCGCAGTTCGACCGCAACACCCAACCCTATCAGCACTAAACCAGAAAGCTGAAAAAAGTTAAAAAATATAAACATGAAAAAATAATAAAATTGAAAAAAAAAACAAAAATACATGCAATATAATAGAAATAAATTCAGTTTCATGCTACATCTGCTAGTGTGAAATTCGAGGTCTAGCTTCTGCTGAAAACTGGATGATCTAGATAGTAACTTAATTGCTTGGATGGATTTTAACATTTGAAGATATATCTTGTTATAATATGGCGAACAAATAAAAGATATTTTGTTATTATAAAAATATGGATATCGAATAAATGCTAGTGAGTAGAATTTAGTGTGAGTCCTCTTACACGGTGCGTCACTACATCACTACATCTCCAGTTAATGATGACGATTTTATTGTTGACTAGCGACTTACTCTCGCTCCGCTTGGGTTCGTCCCTAGTTACGTTTTAACGTTTAGTATAGATTTCTCAGAGATGACATATTTTCCCGCAGTAAAAAGTATTCTATATGTTGACCCGGATAACCAGCTATCATCATACCATATTTCATCAAAATCTATCCAGTGGTAACAGACAGACAGACAGACAGACCGACAAAAATTCTTAAAACTATAGATTCGGCCTCTGTATCGATAACAATGCCCATTTCAATAAGATTTTACAAAAAAATATTGGATGTACAGATTCGGCTTAGTTACAATTTTATTATATGTAGGTATAGACTTGTTACAATTGAGCTACTACTGATTGACTACCTAGTATGTACACTGTACATAATATATAGTTTATTATATAACATGACTACGATTATTGATTACTGTGGTTAGGAAAAATGTTTGTAAATAATGTGTACGCACTACGCATATTAGGTATATATATGTATAATCCTACTAATATTTATAAACACAAGTTTTTAAGAATGTATGTATGGATGTTTGTTTGTTACTCTTTAACGCCAGAACGGCTGAACAGATCTGGATGAAATTCGGCACAGACATAGATTATAGTCTGGAATAACACATAGGCTACTTTTTATCCCGGAAAATTATACGTTTCCCGAGGGCTAGATTTGTTTTTGTGTTTCTAGAGGCGGACCCGAGCAAAGTGAGGGTGAGCCGCTAGTACACAATATGTAGTGTTATGTAACACTAAAACACATCATACATTTAAACATTTTTAATTTCTTGTTTGAATTTGTAAATACATATTTTATTTCAATAAATACATAAATTATCAGCATTTCGTAGAGACTTATTAGTCAAAGAACATCCACAAGTATAAAATTTCTATACCTATATTTTTGCTCATAGATAAGTAATTTTTGAGGCAAAATCTATGATAATTATATGAATTTTCATCATATTTCGCATATAAAATTAAAAACGCGTTGACCAAATCATATACAGAATACACAGTTCGAGCTTATCTCAGCGCCGTAAACAGTATCAGTTTATCTAATCTGCTATCAGTGGGTATGGGTCCGCTCCTCGCGTGAGTTTCATACAACCAATTGACAATATTTAATTGTAAAAAAAAATAAAACTATTTTGCAAAAAGTATTCATTGTTTACCCATCTGCTCTATAATACCTTTTTTATGTTTTAGGAAGTAAAATATTTCGTAAGCTTTTAAAAATAAAAGACAAATAAAAATCAAAAAATTGTCGAGTTCCCCTCCTCTTCTGATTTTTTTTGATCGAGTGAAATTTACGATATTATGTTTTGAACCCTTAATAACCAGAGTATATATAGTGAACTATAATATATCTTTTTTTGGCTTACAACAATCACTATTTGTATGTTTATTATTCAATGGAAGTCTTAATGCTACAAGAAATAAATTAGCATCATGTCTTTCTTGAGGGAACAGATAGTGACGACACGTTTGGCTCAGTTTGTAGTGACCCTACTTGCTGTGCCAGCGGTCGCGGGTTCGAGTCCCGCTGGGAGCATTCATTTGTGTGATGAGCACAAATGTTTGTACTCCAGTCATGGATGTTTATATTTATAATATGCATATATTTAAAGTTATATATGTGTAGTGTATTAGTGTATCAACTATCTGGTATCCATAACACAAGCCTCGTAGCTTACCATGGAACTAGGTGGTGCTGTGTGTTAATGTCCCAACATATTTATTATTATTTATTTAGATAGGTTATTTTTATTTGGAAAGTAAAGCTATTTTATTCGCGCGATACCTCATTATTATTCGCGGGATAGTGTAGAAGAACGGTTTAACTTTTATAGACGAATAGATGAATCGATTAAGACAAAATGTTTTATTATATATAGCAGATTAAGTTTTAACGTTTAGTATAGATTTCTCAGAGATCAGTTATTTTCCCGCAGTAGAAAGTATCCTATACGTAGACCCGGATAACTAGCTATCATCATACCCATCAAAATCCCTCCAGTGGTTTTTTTTTGACAAGCAGACGAACAGATAAAAATTCTAAAAATTATAGATTCGGCCTCTGTTATCGATAGATAACAATGTCTATTTCAATAAGATTTTCCAAAAAATATGTGATGTCCAGATTCGGTTTAATTACAATTTTATTATATGTATAGAAGTCAGTATACTATAAAAATGTTAACCCCATTTAAGAACCAAACCTTCTAAATAAAGCGCTATAGGCAAATACGTACTACATATTAAGGTGATTAATTTGAGATAAACTAGACAAAGACGAGTTTTTTTTGTACTTTGTTAAAGGATCAACCATTGGCGTTGAAGATTTCATACTGTAGGTATAGGATAATTTATGAAAGAAATTCAATTTGTATGAAACATTCAAATATTTATCTTGTAAAATTCGAATACTTCGTCGGGCGATCATATTGAAACAACACCCGTTAGATAAGCAAAATATCTATATACTATAAAGCAATCTGCTAACAATCTGCAAAGAATATATTATTTTGTTTCGCTGTAAGTACATAAAGAAGTTTATTTCAAAACAAATTGTAACAATGAAGTGGAAAAACAAGTAATTTTAGGACACAAATAATAAAATATAATCGACCAAAATTGCGTAGTTGATTATGATATGCGATTACGAAATCACTGAATATACCTATGAATCTATCATTTACTACATGGTTATGTGCGTAAGTATTATTTAGATTATACAACAAAGCACCTATTGCTTTCAGTTTTACTGATGTGCTATTTAGATTTTTTCTTGACAATTATAAATTTGGACATAGCATTAGTAAGATGTCAGGTGGACAGATGAAAATGTATCAAAATTCATACAAAAGGATAATTATTGAGTCCAATATGGTCCATCAGTGCAACATATAAACATATATAAATATATATATATATTGCACTGATAACAAGCCTTATCACATTATATATCTTGTTCATATATTGTAATTTGTAGCACGAAAACAACTTGCTTATTACTTATTATCATTTATGTTCGAATTGAGAACATCGCCCAACACTCTTTATCCCACAATCGATGATATATGAAGCATCACCACCACATTCTTATGCCATAATCTACATAACGTTTAATTAAATTCTTGTCTTCCGTAACTTCTAGAAGTGTCTTTTGGGCACAATTTACTTCGCCAATGTCGCGTAGAAGACGAGAAGACGAAGTTATATATAGAATGACCAGTAAAAAAGAAGCAAAAAACACTAGATCTGATTACATGTAGAAAAAGAGGGTTGTTTCAAATTATCTATTAATGCAAACTAAATCGATTATGATAAAAACATCATTTTTTTAGAAACAGTAAAAGAAACTTACCGCAAAGAATAAGTTCGCGAAGAACAGTATGTATTTAACCAAAACCTCTCCACAACCCATTTTTGATGTTTAATTTGTTACTGGATAAAAATGAAAGGTGCGCACGCGTCGTAATACCGTGTGTGACTACATGGTATACATGTACACGGTCGTTGCCGCTAGTTATCGGACGATAAGATTCTCAGGAAATATTTACATAGAATCATTTTGTCATTATACCGCCAAAATGTTATGAATAATGATTTAGGTCATGTTCTGTATGAATCAACATTTATTTATTATTTTCATATTTGGTAATTATAACCGGGTAAATCTAATTATGAGGAAAAAAGTATTTTTTTTATTTTAATCACACAGCCATTTATAGTTGACAATTAGAGGGTGGTTTTTTTATTTGGAGTAGGTACAGTTACTGATGTCTTATGTTGTGACTTGTAATGTTCTGTGTATGGATGTATATGGGATAGTAATACCAGATGCAAAAACTCGAAAACTAAACGAGATTCTAAAAAAAATTTTGCATTCTGAGTCCATTTATGATAATAATTGAAGTCGTACCAAACAAAGAATAAAAACGATAAGCACGCCCTTTTTCTAGAATTAGGTATAGTTAACTATGTAGATGAATGTGTCATGTTATAAATATTTTCTTTACATATGCTACGTTATAATCAGTCTCTTTTTAGCTTTTACTAACTTGCTGTTTGTATGTATGTTTGTTCGGGTCAAATCTTGCAATTGAATTTTAAAGCAATTATCCCCAACCGATTTAGCTGAAATTTTGCATACACATTTTGTTTGTATGACAATGCATGGTTAGATAAGTGGCATCATTCTAAATCTAACAATGCGGACTCCCTACTATGGCAGACTATGATTTTTTGTGCGCCCCCATGATATGGATATCAAATGAAAGGGTTTGCTGAGAAGAATACGAATAAAATCCTAAAAAAAAACTTTAAATTAAACCAAACCTATTTATTACATTACACAATATAATATATGATATAAAATACTGTTTAAAAAATGATTTTTTAATATTAATTACAGACAGATAAAAAACGAATTCTTATGTGATCACACGTGTATAGAATACGTTTTTTTAATTAGAGGTAAGTACAGAAGTCTTAAACTAAAAACTACGAACTTATTATTTATTCATAGACTAAAATTAATATAAAACTGCCTCCAGCTGTTTTTCAGCGATGTGCGTTGCTTGTTTTACGTTTGTTGACAGTTGACATCAGGAATCCTACGTTCTGACGAGATTAGTAGAAGTCCTTCCATTTAAGGCTAAATCCTTCATTTACCAGCTATAATCTAATTGAAATCAGTTTAGAGTTTAGACGTTTCGAAGATGAGAACTGACAAACCAGGTGACGAAAAAGTAGTTGGTACTACAACAATTTATCTTACGCGTACAGAAGACATTTAAAAAATAAAATTTTAGCGAAACTTATTACGTTATTGCTATACTAATATTGTAACTGTAACTTAAAAAATACTAGTGCCAGTATCACACGTACACCGAGGTGGTATAGTGTATACACGTGAGGTATACACGTTTGGCACGTAATTAAACACATTTAACAGTTAGAAAGGCAAGGAAGAGGCAAAGTATCTGTAGTACTGATTTATGTCTTCGACCCACGTCTAACCACCAACCGCGTTTTTCCTAACGTCCCACTGTTGGGCATCAGATCAGACCATAGTCAACGCTGGCTAAGTGCGGATTGGCGGAATTTACATTAATCATCTTCTTGAATCAGAAATCTTTTGAAAGGTATAAATGTTCTTTAAAGAGACAATATCTTATCTATACCTACTTGAAAATTTAATGCTTTATACTCACTTTGCTCAAGCCTCGCCTATTTGTGCTATGGACATCGTAATTTAGGCTTTTAGAGCTCAAGGGTATTCTTTTGAATGTCGTTTCTATAAATCCAGATTTACGTAACAAACTTCTTCATTATTAAAAACCAATTATTTTAATAACAATAATATTTTAAATCTAAAAAGTAATATGTTGTGAATAGAAGAAATATAAGATCATCTTTCCAAATCACGATCGTTAAACACAACTGAAACTAGTTCTTCTTTTTCCCACTTCAACACTTTTTCTATGGAAGATACATCTAATACAAGATACATACATACATACATACCTGTTATTTCATCAGCATTAGTACTCTTTTTGAAAGTGAGAATAACAATATTTTTTTTGTTTACAGAGAAGTAAAACACATTTTTTTATTGTAAATTTTTATTAGAAAATTATTATTCTTTTAATCTTCTCATTCCATTAAAAATCCTTGAATGGGTTTTATTTTACAAAAATCCATCAAATTAATTAAGGAACATCGTAAGTCTTACTTAAACACATAATATAACTATTTTACTTTATAGCAATACAATTATTATGTGTGGAAGAAAATACACTGTATGAAAAAAACCTCACTCCATGACAGTCATCGGCACATGCACGATGCAATTCAGAATAAAAGTGAACGAAACAGGCTGTTTAAATTAAATATTAATCTGTTACTATTTACTTGATGAAATTATTTTATGTCCAGGGCTTTTTTGTGTCTCAGTTCTAATTATTTCTAGTTAGTTATAAATAAAATATTAAAAATCTCCACCGATTCTACATCAGTTGCTAATAAAGTATTTCAAGTCAAAAATATCGATTTCAACATCGGTTACAACTTCTGAATTGATCCTGAAAATTCTATCACTAACAGGAAGCTACACAAGCTACATATATACATACAGGCTATTAGGTATAGTTTATTCAGATAAAAATGTGTTTATTGTCGGACATCGTAACAAATTCTGTTGAAGCCGGAAAAAACTGTCCGGTGAGTTGGTTCTTGTGTCTTCACTTTGGAATTGCCGAGCCAGCGAGAGTAAGTTCCTGGTGTGGTAAAGGATTAAATTACAAAAAATCTGGGTCAAATATGATCCAAACCCTGTCGTCTGACGAGAACGACAGGGTAGTATGAACGGTCAGAGTCGTTAATAACGCGTTCTCTCCTTGTGTCGCACGTGACTCGCGAGACATAGCCCGAATATGACTGCCACCAACTGAAAAAAAAACAACATAATATTGAATGTCATACCTACATTACAAATAAATATGAATCTAAATGTGTTTCTAAGTGCAAAACTCAGAAACAACTGGAATAATTAGGCAATTTTTTTTATTCAATAATCGCTAAAGGAAGGTTCCTATGAAGAAAACAAATGGGAAAAATGCCCGGGGAAACGTAAAAATACAATTTTTCTAATCTGGCTTACTACACAATTGATTTTACAGAACAAGATCTGTCGGTTTAGCTAGTTTTTATAAAAAAAATACACGTTTTTATAATAAAAAAATAATATTTTCTCATTATCATTAATTCAAATATGCAATTATAAATAATATTTTATCTAAGTATTTTAGGACTTATTAAACGAAAAGATTTTACTCGTAGTTTCGCAGGACGTTAAATAGTGACTAACTTGATTTTTATGAATATCACATACATCATACAAATTGTGAATGAAAATATTTTTGTAGCGCGAAAAAAGTCACACAAAATAACTAGTTAATATGATTATTATTTAATGGTCAACATATTGATCCTAAGACAATTAATCCTAGGACAGCAAAAGATGTCTGCAATGATGCTGTGATAGTATGTCTACTTGTTTACATATTACCTTTTGATGCTTAAACTACTAAACAGGTTTTAATGAAACTTAGCAAGGATTCTATCAAAGGAGCGCATATAGGCTGTCTTTTAACCCCGCCTCGCTTACCATGTTTTTATTAAAAAACTAGCGACTCACCCTTGCTTCGCTCGGGTTCGTCCCTAGATACGTTTTAACGGTTAGTATGGAATAGATAGACTATGTATAATACACAGGTATGATGAGTTGTAATGGGTTGTATTATAACGTGTTTTCCTGTAGGAATGAGATAATCTCCCGCGGTAAAAAGTAGCCTATGTCACTCTCCAGCCAACTATCTTCACACAAAAAATCACGTCAATCCGTCACTCCGTTTCAACGTGTAAGAAAGACAAACAAACAAACATACTTTCACATTTATAATATTAGTATGGATATACGTACCATAGTCTGCACAAATATCTATTAGCTGGAGTTAGTGATATTATCACTTTGAATGTTTCATCGCTTCGAACATTATCATTTTATTAAAATCCCATGAATGAAAAACTCTTTACTCTCTTATTAGAATATTTATTTCTCTATACCTCTATATATTCATACCTCAATAAGAACCACAATGATGGCTATTACGCCAATCGCGAGGCCGAATGTTTCGAAAAACTGGGTGACCACTACGTTGCATCCGTCGTATGCGTTCTCTTGAATGCAAACGTTTTCGGAACAACATGATGACGGCAACACTATAAGAGGCTTATAGGATTGGAAGCCCTTAGGTCCACAGCATTGAAACTGGAATTTTTGTTTGTTAATTCAATTAATGTTATAATTTATCTCTATAACTCGTTGAGCTGTTAATTTTTTTGGTACAATAAAATTATTTTATTCATGTTCATTTATAATTTAAAAAAATTGTTTAAACGTTTAACAAAAATCATAAATAATCGTTATATTGTTAATGTACCTATATTGTTAAAGTAACGGACCCAAAGGGAAAATAATATATAAACTATAAAGCTATATTAATAGTAGGTACTAATAAGAGAATATCGCAAGAGTGCTGTAATCTCTCAGTGACAATTTTGGCGGAGTAATGAACATTTTGGTTAAGCAATTCAAAATAAAGCAGCAACTGAGTTTTTTAAGTAAAAATACAAAACTACTTACAGTTTTTTCTATTTCATGGAATCCAGTACGATCCTCGGCAAAGACTTCGACGAGCCAGCCCGGGATGCTGCTGAGGACTTCGTCTTGTTTCACAAATATCAAAGTGACCAGTGTAATTTTCAGGATCATCAAAAATATCATGAAAACCGCATACTGTAATCGAAATTATTTAAATTTTATCATTGACAGACTACGTTAAATACAACAAAATTAAAATATGATATTAGTTAAATTTGCAAAAATATTAGAATAAATTTGAATTATTATTAATTAGAGTAGTTGAAGATGATCTTGAATGAAAAAGAGAACTAAATTTTGATAAATTTACATCTTTGAAAGTTGAGTAATTCTTCATTAGGATTTTTTCCCATCACAGGTCACAGGAATATTAGTCTCTTACAAAAAGTTACTTCGGAGCTCTAAACTTTTATTATTAATGGTACAGATCAGTATGCTAATATAATGGTTATACTCACAGAGATGAGCATGCAGTTGTTCTCTTTGATGGCTCCACAGCATCCAAAGAATGCGATCAAGAAGACAATACATCCTACCACAATCGCGCCGATAGGGGTTAATTGGTAGAGCTGAGAATCTTCAAAGAGATCCGTTACCCTGGCAACTCGGAGTTCCAACGCGATACCTAACCCCAAGAGCGTTAAACCAGCGAGCTAGAATAAAAATAATGTATGGAATCCAATTCAAGCTCATATATATAAAAATAATATTATTAAAATAATCCAACAGAGAACAGAAACCGGCTAATCTTGATGTGCCGGAAATAAAATCAGTTTATCTATCTATAATCTGCTATCGATGAGTGTGAGTTGTCCCTTGGAAAAAGTTTTCATAAAAAAATAACAAAAACATTACGTCATATCACAGTAACACTTATATAATACTCGAGTTAACTGCCTCGGTGTCTAGTGGTTAGCTAGTAAGGTTGCAGATCAGGAGGTCCTGGGTTCGAATCCCGAAATAGGCCAATTTAATTACTAAGTTTTACTTTTAAGATATTCTCAGTAAGACCCCGAAGTTAGGAAGTTGGCATTGTTTCACCCCTGTGTCTCGAAAAGCACTTAAAGCCGTTTATCTGCGCCGGTTGTTTCGAAGTATTGTCCCATCCCATATTCTACATTATCTAAATTTTAAATTACCGAATTAGTTGCGCTAGATGAAATCTATACGTATAATAAAATTGTAACTAAGTCGAATCTGTACATTAAATATTTTTTGGAAAATCTAATTGAAATAGACTTTATTATCGATACAGAATCCGAATCTATATTTTTTGGAATTTTTGTCTGTCTGTCTGTCTGTTACCGTATCACGAGAAAACCACTGGACAGATTTTGATGAAATTTGGTATGATGATAGCTGGTTATCCGTGTCAACATATACTATACTTTTTACCGCGGGAAAATATTTCATTTTTGAGAAAGAATACAAAAACTGCATTGTAAGAGTATACTAATATGTAAAACCTAAGAATTTGGTTTTTGGTCATCTGAACGCGGGCGGAGCCGCGGGCAATGCCAGTGTTTAAATATATTGATAAAAATGTCAACAATAGAAACTTACTGCAAAAAATAAGTTCGTGAAGAAGAGTATATACTTCACCAAGGACTCCGCACAAGCCATACTTTATATTTAAATTAAAGTAAGAAAATGAAGGTGCACGCGCGCTATGATCTCGTGTATCACTGTCTCGTTGACAGATGGGACGATAAAATTCTCAAAATCATTATGTTGCAATATTTTATTCTAATACGCCCGAAAAGTTATCTTTCATCTTTACAGATAAATAAAATTGAATTTTCTGTTTTTATTGTCAAAATAACAGCTTTTTACTAAATTCGATAACTATATACTTATTAGATATTAAAAAAAAAATATATTTATTTTTGTCTGTCTATCTGTTTGTTCCGGCTAATCTTCGAAATGGCTGGACCGATTCTGATGGAACTTTGGCTGAGCTGAGGTTACAAGAAGTAACTAAGCTACTTTTATTTTACGCGTAATAAAATTAAAACCTATGAATTTGTGAACAAATCTTACCTAAGGACGCATCCGAACGAATCAAGGGTAAATCACTAGTATTGTAATATGAATTAATTAATTATTAACTATTATTATCTTTCAGTAACCATAGCTAATATCAAGGTGGTGTACATTTATGGTTTTAAATAACAATTAACATTAGTTTAAGTATCAATCAGGCCGTTTATATAAATCATATCTCGTATCTTTTTTATTACATTACTTTTGTATAATACTTATACCAAGAGACTATCTTTTACTCATATATACTCATCATACAAGTAACAATCTCAATAAGTTTTACATGACGCGTACAAAGACAAGAGAAAAAAATTAAAAAAATACTTTTTTTATTTAGGGTGTTTGTTTATCTTTAAATTACGACCATTGAGGGAGCTAAGACAAAATATTATACGAAAATCAACATGATTACAACGTCTTGTCTCACGGTGAAGGAGAACATCGTGAGGAAACCTGCATGTTTGAGAGACATTTTCGAAAGACATGTGAAGTCCGCCAACCCGCACTTAGCTAGCATGGTGGAATATCGCCTTGTCCCGAGGTCATTGCCCAGCACTGAGACGTTAAAAAGGCCTGAATTCAATACAAACAACAGTCCCTTGCTGAGCTAGATTACGTTACAGCACAACAGGATCGCTTATACCTTTAGATCGACTCGACCAATGTTAATTAAACTTACCCTTTTTAATATTGGTTTTAGTATAATTAAAAAGATACTTATATCAAACGTACGTCAAATAATAGGATTGACAAAAAATCTTTATAAGTTGTTATTATGTAACACAACAAATCGGTGTATATATAAAAACTTTTTAACAAAAAAATAAAAACCGACTTCAAACAAAAGCACTAAAAAGTAAAAAATAACTGATTGGTAGTTTTCATTTACTATACATACCTAATCAAATATTTTCGAAGTCGGTGTGCTTTGCTTTGTATGGGCTGGCACCGATTTCGAAAATATTTGATTAGGTATGTATTTAATAGGTAGGCTTTAATTACTTAGCCAAAGCACACCGACTTCGAAAATATTTGATTAGGTATGTATAGTAAATGAAAACTACCAATCAGTTATTTTTTACTTTTTAGTGCTTTTGTTTGAAGTCAGTTTTTATTTTTTTGTTAAAAAGTTTTTATTTTTCCCTTTTTAGTGTAGACAGTAGTAGCAAAGTAAGGATTCTAACGTGTTAGGCTTGTCAAATCAAACAAAATAAGCCCAAACTCAAAGTATCTACTATTAGCCGTTGAAGAGTTCCACCTATCCACCTTCTGGCCTTGCCATCAGATCAGGTCAACAAAACCGAACCACTGTAATATTAACGGAAATAGAAATACTTGCAAAGTTTCAAGTCAATATGACAATTAGAAGTAGGTTAAATTCCTCATTAGTTGTTTTTCCACCCTTAGGGGTGGTATTTTTTTTTGAAATTTAAATGGGACCAATCTGGAAGTATACCCTTTTAAACAAAACAAAAATTTTCCAAATCGGTTAATAAATGACGGAGTTCTGAGGTAACAGACATAAAAAAAAAAAAAAAACATACAGTCGAATTGAGAACCTCCTCCTTTTTGAAGTCGGTTGAAAACAAATTACCACTAGGAGTCAATCAACTCCTTTAATTTTAATAGTAGCTATAACATTAAGAAGATTTTGCTAATATTTTGTGTCAGGCCTATTTGTTTTCTATTCTATTCTTATTAGTTTTATCAGCTTCATCTGGTTAAGCACAAACTTTTTATGTATTTCTGAATATTAATTATTAGCCTCGTATCACATTCTTCGTGCAATATATGTACAGAGATTAAAGTTCAGATAAGTGCGGAGAACGCTTGGTTAAAAAAAAACACGCAAATATCCGATCACCTAAAATTCTAAAAACTTTGAATATCTATAGTAAGTATGAACATCAAAACCTTTAATTTTCCTAGTATTTATTTACTAATTAGTTTACATAGTAGTGATAGAGACCGTTGACCATACAGGAGTACAAATTGTATTGTCCGTTGCCAAGCGAGGACATAATATGTATTGTTTCCACCGAGCTAGGAATTCGTTGTTCAATAAGCATAATGTAATAGTAATGTCAACACAAAATTAAACTTAAATTATTTACATACTACACAAAAGAAAGAATTACAAAAATTTATCATTTTTTCTTTCTTAAACGACTAAAATTTAAATTAAAAGATAATTTCTTCGCCTTCGTTAGTCGACATCATGGTTTTTTTTCTGTATAAATAAACCATAAGAAGTATAATTTATTGCACCGTTTGAACGTAACAATCCACGTTGACATGAAAATTATGGAAAATGAGAAAATTGCTTTTGAATCAGATAAAAGTCAGTAAACATTTAAAAACCCCGTTCCTCACATGCTACCAACGCAATGCTGGGTTTTATTTAATTTATAACTTGAAACTTCACTAGCGAGGCTTAGACAACATGATGTTTTACTAGCTGTCGCTAGTAGAAAACTACTTACATATGAAAATATTATATCTAAGCATTATGTCACGTGATTTGTGCATAATTCTTATATAGTTTCTAATAACGATATCGATTGTCAAAAATCCACTTGTTTAAATGGAAGTTTTGAAATAAAGTTCTCAATTATTATAACTATATTTATTCCTACCACTACTACTTAACTTTGCTTGGGAACTTGGGAACCTTTAGGTACCCTATGTGCTACTTACTCGTCTATCTGTGTAATAAATTATATCCAAATCCATCGAGCAGGTTCAGCGTGAAAGAGAAATAAACAGAAACACATACCTACAAACTTTCGCTTTTATAATAATAGTTAGTACAATTATTCTCTTATATGACACTAGCGGCTCACTCTCGCTTCGCTCGGGTCCGCCTTAAGAAAAGCACAAACAGTTCTATCCCACGACAACCGTTAATTTTTTTCGGAATAAAAAGTAACCTGTTGTTTGACCGGATATATAAGGTATCGGCATGCCAAATTTTACTAAATTAGGTGCATAAGTTGTTGTGTACTAATCTGTATAAGTTATTATAGTTTTTTACTATCCCACGAGATCTCTTACGTTTCCGGGATAAAAAGTATCTAAAATGTTGACCGGAGATATAAGGTACAACCATGCAAAATTTCATTTAAATCGGTTTAACAGTTTTGGAGATTAGCCCATACAAAAAGACAAACAGATAAACAAAAAAATTGAAAAAAATCTGGGTTTGTTCTATTTCTCTTCTCACATCCCCCTGACTCGGTTTTTAGCATTTTTTTCTATGTACGGACATTCGACCTCTTCAGTTTTATTTTATGTATAGACAGACAGATTGTCTGTAAATGTTAAATCATTTCCAATATGATTACCACTTATCTTACGGTAAAGGAAAAGCATGTAAGGAAACCTACATGTCTGAAGAGAACCTAGCAAATTTTCGAAAGACATGTGCGATCCTCTTCGTATGGAAGCTAGGTCTATGCCCAGCAGATGGACGTTAAAAAGGCCTTAATACCATGATATTGGAATTAAAATCGCTTTTTGTCAATTTTTTATGATTGCGAAATGAATCACAAAATAATGTATGGTGGAATTGTGTACATTATATAAAAGTCCGCGATGGCATATGTCTATCTCTTAAGGATAACATACTATATCCATTTTATTTTAAAACGTACCTAGGGACGAACCTGAGCGAAGCGAGGGTGAGTCGCTAGTGTGGTATAAAATATAGTAATGATATATGTCTCTAAATATGGCATAATATGGGTAAAGTCGTATTTAATAACGTCACAGAATTCCACGACACGAATGTCAGCTAAGGTTTTTCCGCGTTTGCTCGAACCAGCTCTCTCAAAAGTTGATTCATTACGCAAATATTCATTATGTCTGCGATAGATTTCATCCATTGAGCTTTAATATTTATTTATAATATTTATATATTTAGCATTCTTTACAATAATAAACTAAAATTTTTATCCGATATGACTCCATTAACAAGTAATATTAAGTACCCTAAAATTCAATCTTATTTTAATGTTTTAACTAATAATGTCGAAGAAAAAATAATTTAAAATGGGTGTTTCTCTGTAAACTGGGCAACTCGCTGTCTCAGATAGATGTCACATATATGATGTTCTCCCGACCGATTCCGGCCACGGCGGCCAATCTCATTGAGACTAGCCAACTGCGCAGGAGATATTATAGTGCACAAGTGTACGCGCAGACACAACGTGCACTCTCTATTCCTATCACTCTCATACTCTGATGGGACGACTGCTCGACACGACCAGTGAGAGTTAAGGCGCAGGACCGACGGCTTTACGTGCTCTCCGAGGCACGGGGGTGAAACACCGCCAACTTCCCAACTCCGGGCTGTTACTGAGGCTTACTTATACAGAAAGACTCAATAACTAAACTTGGCCCGACCCGGGACTCGAACCCAGGACCTCCGGGTGTGCAGCCGTACATGCTAGCCACTACACCACCGAGACAGTTAACATATATACATCTATACAGATAAATAAAATAGAAGTGTCTGTTTGTAAGGTCAAAATAACAGTGTTTTACTAAATGCATATGAAATTATATATGGTACTTATAAGAAAAATACAATTTTTAAAAATTTTGTCTGTCTGTCTGTTTATTCCGGAAAATCTCTGAAACGGCTGGGGCTACTTTTATTTTAGAAAAAGAGTAGGGTTCCGCTCAAAAAAATTAAAACGTACCTAGGGACGAATCAGAGCAAAACGAGGGCGAGTCGCTAGTAATATAATAAACTTCGTTATGAATTATAAAAGAGTTTTCCTTAAACTATCTGTGCGTAGTGCATATTATCCATATAAATTGTTTATATTATATTTTTTTTAGATTTATGAAGGAAGTGCTTAAAAACTAGTCCCTGAAATGCCACGAATGCGGAATTTATCTTTAAAGTCGATTACTTAATACAAAAAAAAAGATTAATTAATAAAATTATATGTCAAATGTTGAATTTTTTTTGCTACACTATTCCACGTTTTTATTACATCCCTGTAAAAATGTTAGATCCACGTTAGTAAGTGGAGCACAACGTAAACGACACACCCATGGTACCCGAAGTACCCGATCGCCAGTTTTTTTAGTGCTGCATGACTGTCGCTCCGAAAAACTCACATGGTTAGCTTACAGCAAACAGTCCCCTGGGGCAAATTATTTTTATTTTATTTTTAATTTTACGAGCATTTGTTTTGTTATATTGGACACATCAACGTTATGTACAACAATTAAAAAAAAACTTAATTATATTTCGTGCTACTTTCCTATAGTCAAATAAAACAGTCCCTTGGCGCAACAGTCTCACTTAGATAGGAGAATATTACTGCCTCTAGGGGACTATATAAATATATAGTTTTATTATTTAAGGCATACGCATGTCTTTTTAATGTGGCACCAAAAAAAGGAATACAATTTACAACGAAAAATGAAACCCCTAACTTGTTAAATAAAATATAACCCAACGAGGGCACTGAGAAAGCAAAAATATAAAACAAATGTTCAAGCAAATAATGTAAAGAGTTTAAATAAATGTAAATCTCTCTTAAAAATTAACCTCAATTCCAAACTGGATCATCTTTTTTAGAAAAAAGCTCAATATTTTCTATAATAGTGGAAATATTTTTTTCTTCTGCTTTTTATTGTAGTAACTATTTTATTATTTATTCACCTATAAACTTTTTTCAAAATACTAACAAAAAAGTGACCAAGACACTTTCGGTAAGAAAATGTTGCCCAGTTTATAGAGAAACACCCAAATATTAAACTGCTTTTTATTAATATGGAAAATAATTAGTTACATAAAGACATTGCATGAATTATTTAACTTTATATAGCAACTGTACTGGAATCCAGTACATAATTTTGCTCGTTCCTATTTTCCAAGGGAAAAGCCAAATCGCCATATTTACTACAGATATTCAATAAATTATAACTTGTTTTGACTAAAGTTAAGTATGCAAGCTCGCAACACCAAATAAGTAGAGCTGACAAGTGTACTCTACAAAATTGTAGAGTCGTTTACATTAATTAAAACAAATGATCTTTACGGCACGCTGATAGTTTCTAACATGTCATAAACATTAGCCGTGTAATACCGGTATTTTTAGAGATTCATTGGGTTCAGTTCGATGTACTCGGTCGACCAGTTTATAGTCAGTCAGTAGTGCTAAATACACCGCGTCGAAATAACGTGTCTTTATTTAACATAAATTAAATTATAATTAACATAAGACTTTTTATTAAGTGTTTGTGTCTATAAAGTGATCACTGTAATGAATAATAAAGAATCATCAAAGCCAAACAAACTAAAATCATTAGACATGAGTGATATAGAGATGGTTTTTGGCTCTCCTGCATCTCCTCGCGGAAGGGTTCAACCTGATGTACATATTGTCATGAATGAGAAGAATGGCAAGGTTAGTTTACTTGATGACAGCTTGTATACATGTAATATTTTTAGTTGTAATCATTTTATTATATGATAATTGTTATGTAGCGTCATAAAGTTAATGCACATTGGATTATTAAATAAATACATATATTGTGACATTAACACACAGCACCATCTAGTTCCATGGTAAGCTACGAAGCTTCTGTTATGGATACCAGATAGTTGATACACTACACATAGTATAACTTTTAAATACATACTTATTATAAATATAAACACCCATGATATGGAGTGCAAACATTCGTGCTCGTCACACAAATGTATGCCCCCAGCGGGACTCGATCCCGCGACCCGTCATTACAAACTGAGTCAAACGTGTCATTGATTGCACTGTCTTTTTTAAATATTCCCGTTTTTTTATTGGTTCTTAATTTTTTGGGAATCAAAGTGTGTTAAGTTAGTTTTGACAAGCACAAAACAGGTTTGGTATTATAATATATCGATGATATGAGAGTACATGGTGTTTTATAGTGCGTGTTGACATACCACTAAATTAAGCTATTTAGCGTATTTTTGTATTTGTCATTTTGGGCAAGATTTTTTAATTTCCTTTAAATAAAAATATTATTGTGTATAAAAACCATGCATATATTAAGCAATATTGAACTCTACATGCTCTATATTAGTAAGTAATAGATAAGTATTTTTTTATATATCAACGTAAATAATACGTATTTAACATTTAGCAGAGTCAGTCGTTACTTATTACAGTCTAAAGAACTTAAATATTTAACTTTTTTATTTCTAATAGATAAAAGGAGGCGGGAAAATATTTATTGCTATGTATTTCTTGATTAAGTTATAACTATAGAAATGACATATACATATGATAGGTTACTATCAACTATTATAGTATTATATGATCTATGCTATCAAGGAACTAGGAAATTTCATGTGATTTTTTGTGAAAAAATACTTAATATCATGGTGTCTCTAAAATTATTACAAATAAACGTCAATGGATGACGTTATATGTATCGATTTTATTATATAATCCAAAGTTTGTGTACAAGAAAAAGTAGATCCCAGCAACGTTTATGTAAACGTATATCCGGATGCGCACGAATCAAATAACGCGTTTTTAAATCTAATTTCGATAATTTTACTAATAAATGCATGCAATATTGCCATTAAGTCATGAATTTGAACTCCATACTATATTGATAACGCTTTTTACCCCGATTGAAAAAGTTTAAAGACACTAATTATAAATTCAAAATGAATTTTGTTATATTTTACAAACACATGTTTGTACAACTACATACGTATTTATAAAGTACATCAACATTTGTGATCAACGCCATCTATCGACAATCTAAAGAAACAAGTGTAGCTACGAATTAAGGATGTCCGTCCAATTACTCTGTAGAAGAGGCATCTGTACTAGCACGAACTTCATAAAGAATTTTAACTTATTTAATATCTTATTCATGTACTCTTATTGTATGTCTTAAATAAGAAAATATTGCAGGTACAGTTATAATAGCTGTTCTGTATACAAAAAAATTGAAAGAAACAGTTGGATTCATGTTTACGATCAACTACTCGTATACGAAATACCACTCATTGATTAATTACGAAATATTAAAAAAATATATTTAAATGCCAAAAGCTTCTGCGGACAGTTTCCTCATAGGAAGAAGATCTGATTTGAATCTCAAGAATTCTTACGGATAAGAAACTTCTAACGGATTAGAAAGGAATTTTATACTTCCATAGATTTAGGCGAATATTTGACATATTACCTGCATAAAACTATTTCTTTCAAATATTTTCGCAGATTTACTTTGGTTTTTGGTTCCCGACATTTCGAATGCTTTAGATTTTACTTTCAAGATACTAATGGCCGATTTCACCAACGTCACCTAAGTTTAAGGGATCCCCTAAGCATGGTTAAGGGGCTGTTAGGGGACAGTTTTTGTTTCACCGACAGTTAGGAGTCACCTAAATATTAAAATGCCACCTAAATATTGGTACTAGAAATACGGGCTCTGACGATGGTAAAACGAAATTTAATTTAGAGGCTAGTTTAGGAGAAGTTTTAAGCTTATCTTACGTAAGTGGTAGCTTATGGGATTTTCGTGAAATCGGACATAATTTTTGTAAAGCATTAGAAACATAATTTAATTTAAAAGGAATTTTAGGAAAAATAAAAAAGGGGTTGAAAATTTGTATGAAAATATATTATTTTTGCGGGCAGAAAGAACTACTGCTAAATGCTAGTACGTAAAAATATACGCTGCAATTTTAAGTATTTAATGTGAGATAATCGTTTTTAACAAGCTGGTCTCGCTAAATGAACACATGACTTCACTACAGAAGTATTTGTCCCATACGTATATAAATTATTAAAGAGGAAACTGTTTTAATTACATTACTATAAATTCGATAATATTATTCGAAAATTTGATTTAATTAGACGTCCTTTATTTTGATTTTTAATTCCCAATGTTTCGAAAGCTTTACATGATCACGAGGGAGTAAATCTAAGAAAGTATTATATAAAAATGTATTTTTCTTAGTTTGTTTATTTGGTCTTCGATAGATTGATATAGTTTTGTAAGGAGATAGTTGGAGTTTGAAAACACGTTGTAATAAAGAACGCAGTATAGTTTTAATAAGATAAAACAATTAAAATTATATAAAAACCTTGCAATTATTGTTTAGTACAGATACATTTATTTATACTGTAGTTTTTTTGTAAAAAATTGCTGTTAAATCCGCGATTTTTTTTAATTTAAAACTAGCATTGCCCGCATAGTATACTCTTACATTGCAGTTTTTGTATTTTTTCTAAGAAATGAGATATTTTACTGCGGTAAAAAGTATTCTATATGTTAACCCGCATAACCAGCTATCATCATACAAAATTTCGTCAAAATCTGTCCAGTGATTTTCTCGTGATGTGGTAACAGACAGACAGACAGACAGACAAAAATTCTAAAAACTATAGATTCGGACTCTGTATCGATAATAATGTCTTTTTCAATTAAATTTTCCAAAAAATATTTAATGTACAGATTCGACTTAGTTACAATTTTATTATATGTATAGATGTCAAATATTCACGTAAAAAGAAAGTATTAGGTATGCTTCTGTTTACCTATAGGTAGAGGTACTATACAAACCTAAGCGAAGCGAGGGTGCTCCGCTAGTCTAAATGATATTAAAAATTTTGGTCCAAGTAACCTTTAGTCTCCTTTGCTAATTATTTATCAACGTACTCTGCGTAGGTGGATCTTCTCAGACCGTGCGAACTGCGAACTGAATCTATGTGGGACAATAAAAATATAATAAATAATTATAACATACTCGTATTGATATGATTTTTCCGTTATTGTAAACAAGGACAAGACCTATTTAACATGATATTGTTTGTATGTCCTTTAACAAATAAAAGCATTGGCTTAATTTTTATAACTAAACTGTAGCCTGCGACTTTGCTTAAATATACACACATACATATATTTCTGTTAAGTCCATTTCTAAGATTTCAACCTGTATTTGAATTTACTCGATTTTAAAGGCAAATTAAGTTTTAAAGAATTAAATACAATATGGTAAATATTGCGGTAGATTAAATTTAAGTAACTTTAGGTAACAGTTACTGTTGAGTTAAGGTATATATACATATATATATATATATATATATATATATATATATATATGGGTGATTCTTCAAAATTTGGTTAACTTGGTGTTAGCAGCAATTTTCACATATTTATATCTATTTTATTAAATATTTGCAACTACTAAGCAATATTATAAAGTTCATGTAATTTGGTCACTCACTTTGATTTATATCACAATATTTTTTATTTCCGAAAATCGCTTCTTTCTACTCCAAATATCAGGCCCTAGCTATTTGCGAAATTCGAAAATACGCGGCATCTAAGCTTATGGCGTTTTTCAAAACTTACTCAAGCGAAAGCATCGATGTGAAGTTAAATGTAAACACGACCAATGCCGCATCAGCTATTTAGTTTTTACTGCAGTCGCCGACTTTGTTACGGAAACACGTGCTGTGCCAGTCAAACTCTCAGTCCCTAGGTAAGTCGTTTCAAAGATAGTTAATTAATAATTGATCTCATTACTTATTGTAAATTTGAGCTTTGTCTGCCTTGTTATTTTGATCACCTGCTGGTTGTTATGTTTATTTTAAATAATAGGTTATTTTTGATTTTGCTTTGATTCGTCAGTCCCTAGACCGTCAGGCCCTCGTCGTAAAAGTGACTAGGGCCTGATGGCACACCTAGGGACTGACGGTTATACTGCGTGATTCATGGTTTTAATAATAAAATACATGTATTTGTTGTAGAATATGGCACCTAAAAAGAAAACATTACTTTCCAAAGGAGAACTCGCCAAAAAAGTGTGAACAGACAAAGATACGTTTGGAAAAAATTAAAAATACCCTATTTTGCTAGCAGAGTACAAAGAAAAAGAACGACATAAATATCCAAGGAAAAAGAAAAAGGACAAAGGAAATGTGTCAAGGACATGCCACCGCGTAAGCATAGAAGAACCACGAAACAGAAGACTGAAACGTAAAATGACGAAAAATAAGAAAGCACTTACACCAAAAAGTAAAATTGAAGCCATGGCTAACGAGCCTAATCAAAACGCTGAATTGATAAATGGCACATAATTTCAAATAAATGAGAATGATATCGCTGACGTGCCTTACGAAGAATGTTTTAGAATAACTGCCAGTTTCTAACCTAATAAGGTGGAACCATGTTTCACAAATTTAAGAAACATGTTGTCGCTTACGAAAAGTAGAACAAATAAATAGTGATGTGATAGTATTTGTGATTAATTAGAGAAAGAGTGATTATTACGTTCAAATTATAATTTTGTTACTTAGAAAGCTAATTTTTAAAGTATTGTTAATTATTTAAAGATTTTTAATTTGTAAGTACTAAACTCAAAGTACAGTTAATAAAAGAAAGGCTATGATTGTAA